CATCAAGACTGAGACTACTTCACCTAAGGATGAAGACAAATTGATTTGCCTTAAAAGAAATTCAGACAACAGTAGTTTGTTCATCACTGTACCAAAAGAAGAGGAAGTTCTCTGGTGTAACTGCAGTCCTTTAAGATATACAAAATTAAGCTGAAAGGCAAGAAAGACCAGACAGCAATTTTCTACAATAATTGGACCCTAGTAGAATTCAAGTTACACATTCTCTGCTGCCAATAGATATTATTGTATTAAGTATCTGCACTACAGTAACTATCCTATGCTTCTAAATACCAAAGTAAAGAGCATCAACTTCACAATAATCACCCTGAACATTCTCACCAGCTTTTCCCCTAAAAAGGCTCAACTTACTGTTGGTATCAGAGCACTGAGTGTCTGAACCTTCACGGCTGAAATAGGTATAAAAGCCAGACAACAAGACATAACTCACATAATAGGCAAGTTCTGGTATAATAAACAACTCAAAAATCTTAAGATGCAGTAAGCTGAGCAGGGGGGGAATATCCTCCCTACCCACCACAAAGTGGTCAGAGTTAAAATGCCAGGGCTTACCCTTACAACAAGCAAAGGCATTAAAAATTAAAAATAAAAGAGAGAATCATGGGTTTCTGCTGTTGCCAAAAGTACAGTCAGAGGTAGATCAGAGGTATTGCTGAAGGAGATTGAGTAGCAACAACAATCACTGTGCACAGATTAACAGGCTTACACAAAACCTGTGCTAATATCATAGTATCATAGTATATTAAGGGGTTGGAATGGACCTTAGAGGTCATCTAGACCCAACCCCTGATGCTGTGGGCAGGGACACCTCCCCCCAGACCAAGTTGCTCAAGGCTTTATTCAACCTGGCTTTGAACACTGCCAGGGCTGGGGCATCCACTACTTTCTGGGCAACCTGTGCCAGTGTCTTCAGCACCCTCACAGAAAAAAACTTCTTCCTAATATCTAATATCTTCCCCTCTTTCAATTTATACGCATTAGTCCTTGCCCTATCACTGTAGTTCTTAACAAACAGTCCCTCTCCAGCTTCCCTGTCGGACCTTCAGACACTGGGAGGTTGCTATGAGGTCTCCATGCAACGTTCTCTTCTCCAGGCTGAACAGCCCCAACTTTCTCAGCCTGTCTTCACAGAGGAGATGACTATTGGCCTTGTCTACAAATGAAGTGACAGCTGCAGTCCGTAAAATGTAAAGATATAGCCGAATATTGGCACACACTGGGAAGGTGCTCCAGTCCTCTTATGAGCTTTGTGGCCTCCTCTGGACTTGCTCCAACAGCTTCATGCCCTTCTTGTGTTGGGGACACCAGAACTGTATGCAGTACTCCAGGTGGGGTCTCACAAGAGCAGAGCAGAGGAGAAGAATCACTTCCTTCGACCTGTTGGCCACACTCCTTTTGATGCAGCCCAGGATACGGTTGGCTTTCTGGGCTCTGAGTGCACACTGCAGCTCATTGTTGAGTTTTTCATCAACTGTCACACCCAAGTCTCTCTCCACAGGGCTGCTCTCAAAATGAGAGTGTGGAGAAGCAGATCAGCTCTTCTATTCTTTTGCAGGAATTTCTCTCAGTTCTAATTTATTTTGTTCACCACTGCTTTCATTTCATTAAGAAAGTATTGTTTGATTACCAATACACAATAGTCAGAACATAAAGGAAGTTTTGTTTCCTGTTTCCATTACCCTCTCTCTCCGCCCAAAGAGATAACCATATGGCAGTGTAAAAGAATCAAATAGCATTTTTTCACTTTCTTTGGGATTTACCACAAGTGTTCAGTTGTACAGAAGGCAGTTCAACCAATCTGTTCCTTCTGCAATTTACACTGCTATATGGAGAAATCTAAGGAAATGAAAAGTTAATGTGTCTCCCATTTTCCTGTTCCTGAAATGCAGCACTGAATTCATATTCCTTCTGTTTTTCACTGTATGGCTTTCCCCTCTATTGTACATTATTTTCATCACATTCACTCACTTTCCAAACTCCTATTGATTTGTTTTCAATTCTCACCCACAAGCTTTCTCTTTATTCAAGTCCTGCACTCCATTTCCTGCATTCTTCATTCCCTGTCAACATTTTTCTAAAAATCAGACTTAAAATCCTCAGACTCAGCTGGGTCCGTATTATGCAGTTCTTCCAAGATCAAACAAATCAAATATAAGCTGTCAATATAAGCTGTCATTTTCCACTTCAACAGAGGCATATGCCCTGTTAGGCTACATTCATTTTCATGCATTACTTTTAACCCAGCACTCTGCTCCTTCAAATGTAACTAAAATACCTTCAGGTTGACCACTGGCTTCAGACTTGCTAGCAGATATTTGACATTGGTGTTCATTAAATGTTTTGAACCACAAAATCTACCAAACTGCATTGGCTTGAGCAGGTCATGGGCTTCTCTGGCAATAGCAAAGCTTTCTCCTACAAAGTGTTTCACTGTATCCATGTAGTCACAGAGAGTTCTCCATCTGCACTTTAGTTTGCAACTGTCCCCATGTCTGGTGGGTCTAGGAAACACTCATGCAGGTCCTCAAACTTCCTGGAATTGCACTAGGGTTTATTTGGTTTCTTGTGCCTCCAATTTCTCACTGTAACTTTACTCTTCTGCCACTACCAAACTTCAGACACTTGTTCATTGCACTCCTTCCAACCATACAAGCTTGCTGTGGCCCATATCTGTTTCTCATTTTACATGCACACATGAGACTGCTAAAAGAACTGCCAATCCTTTAGCCCTCACAGTAAGCAGCCTAGCACTGGTGAGGCTGCTTCAGGGTGCACCTTCCTCAACCTTAAGTCAGAATTTAGCTGACTCACCTAAGTTCTTCCCAGTTCTGCCAACCAGGTCGAAAAGCATTGAATTAAGTTTTCAAACACTCACTAAGAACTCCAGTTGGGCAAGATCCATGTGCATTAAATCTTAGTCCCCTATTCACTACTGATACTCTTCCAAGAGAAACTGTTCTATGCATGTTTAAGGAATGCTGACAATAGATGAGGCAGGTAACAGGTAAGTATGAGCTTGTCTCTGACTTTGCACGTATCATACAGTTGCACTTTGAAATCTCAGAGGCAAGTGATAATGCAGTTGGGAGGAAGTGAACAGTGCCACATTCCACAGAAACAGCAAGGTGTAACATTTTATAGTATCTAGTAGCACAAGGTGAAACAGCTGTTAAACAAAAGGCAGTCTCTGCCAGGAGTAAAGTCACAGAATGCTTCCTGAAAGCAAAATTGAAAGAGATGGTCTGAAAGCAGAATTGAAAGTCCCAGAAGAATCACAGCATTGAAAGCTAGTCCTATACTCAGACTGATCAAGGAATTTTAGTCAAATCCCAACCTTTTCCTCTCAGAGATCTCGGTGGACATCCAGAAACTCAAAATCACCCATGAAGACTGACTTGGCTATGTTGAGCAAGAATCCTGGAATATTCTTCCACTGTAAAACCCTGGAGTCACTTCTTGCTCATAACATTCTCAAAACATTCCCCTAAGCTTTCTAATACAGTCTGCCATCTCATGCATCACCAGCAAGATGAAAATAGTTTTTCAAAGTGTGCAGCCTGACCAGCCTTGCAGCTGACAAACTTGCAGAGCCACAGTGGAAGGGAGATCACTTTTCTCCATCAGTGTATATCCTCAGCCACAGGGTAAACTATGAAGTGTTAAACCTAATATCAGGTCTACCCTGAAAACAAGTAGGAAAGAAGTGCAAATGTATCCAAAACTGCTATATCAAAAACACTGTCCCAGAACTTCATCCAACAAATAACTACCTTATACATATATCCATCTCTTTCAAAACTAAATAAATACATATAAATAAATTTAGAAGTGTAAAAGAGGAGCTTTATTTACCCACTTCCCCTAAGAAGAAGTGACCCCTTTACCAGAAATCAAACAAAAGCTGTTATTGCAATCTATCAAGCACTCCTTGTTCTTCAAAACAAAGCTGCTGTACACAAACGACATGACTTCTCGACTACATAGCAGCACAGTATATTTTAGTAACTTGCAGGTTTTCTCACACGTTCAAATCTTCCATCTCACAGCACTACATTTAATTACATAACAATGAACTTCTGCCCTTACATAACTTATCAGCCTGGAGTTGCTGCAGCTATCTGGTAGGTATAAATGAAATTTTGCAAATGCTTTTTAAAAGCAGAATGTGTCATATAACAGTATTAGACCTTAGAAAATAATGGTCTTCAATTTTGCCACATCAGTATAGAAAAGGAAAAAAGAGTGAGAATCTTTGAGGGAAGCTGTGCTTGCTGATGCAGCACAAACTAGTGGAAACAGTTACCTCATCTACTGTTCATACAATTCCACATCACTTTCATTATTTTTCAAGTTTTGCAACTACAGTATCTTAAACAAGAACAAACAGAATGTTTTCCTGAAGCCTTTACAGTTAAGTTTAACTTACTCCGCATGGAAAAGAAGAAAATGCAAAAAAGCCTCTTAAGTTTTCAACATTGCCTAAAAGCAAAAGTAAACATAAGATTTTACTCTCTTTGACTGACTTTGCATAGTACTAGAAATATTAAAAGACAGAAATTAATACCTTACATTTCAGTCACATCTGCATATGTATATTCATCAGTGGAAAAATCAAAAAACTATGGGACTCGGAATGTAATGAGTGATTTTGTTTTTCAGATTCAGCCAAAAAATCCTGCCACTTATATAGATTATCATGTCCTAGTCAGCACAGACCAGAAGAGTAAAGCCTGAAATCTACACAGTAAAGTTTCCACTAACTTGAAACAATCACATCTCAAAGAGGCTTTGAGTTAGTGCTTTTAAGATGTGAATCTTAAAAGTTACTTCCATTCTTATTGCTTAATATAATAAAACTAGTTAGAATTCCTCTAATCTCCAACTAGGGAAAAAATACTGACAATTTCTTAGTAAACAGAATCTTGTTCTACACCATTAAGTGCATTTATGCAGAAAGATAATAATGTCATCTTGATGCTTACCCAATCATTGTGTTTTCTTTAATCTGGCCCTCGGTGCCATTTACCATTGGCTCTTGATTTTTGTTTTCTTTTTCTGAAGCATCACTTGAGAGGCCCAGCAAAGCTCGCACTCGTTTTGACTTCACATCCAATATCGTGTCGGTGTAGCCCACTTCTTGTAGGTACCTGCAGGAACAGAACTCATGCTAATCTTCCGTGCACCTCTCACTTAGGCAAGAGAGTAAATGAAACCTTCCCCCTAAACTCATCTTCAACCCCTTAGCTTAGCAAAGTATGGTGCTGAGCTAATGAAACATGCTTATAAATCATCCTGTACCAGCTGCAGAGGGATCGCCTCTCGCAGTACCAGCCTCTACAGTCACTGAGAGGGAAAAAAAAACAAAAATCAAAGAGCCTAGTAGTCAGAGGTTATACAATACGTTATTCATTCATTTACTAAAATGGATGGAAAAGCACTTTCAATTAAAATATTTACAGCTGATTTATCAAAATCCCCACAGTTGAATGCACAGCCTGGTAATTTTATTCTTTGTCACATGAAAACTAGATACAAGAAGTACAAGATATCATAGAATCATCAAGGTTGGAGGACACCTCTAAGATCATCAAGCCCAACCACTAATCTGTCACTCTGCTGTAACCCCTAAACCACATCCTCCAGCATCAGATCCTATGTAAACACTAATAGAAGCCTAGAAAACAGAGGGAATAAACCCCAAATTCTATAGCTGTAGCTATTAGTAAGAGTTGCTATTAGTAAGAGTTGCCTATGCACTAGGCTTGATAAAAATCTTTGTCTTGCCTTTTCTTTATTCTGCAATGGAGCTGCAAAATATTAATTTGTCTTCCATATAAAGACCAGGCAGCAAGAATCCTGGAATGAAAACGTCTAAGTCTAGAGTGGGCTCTTTCATCAATATGCCATATTGTCTTTGGGGGAAACAGGAGGAAAATGAAGATTTTTTTTAAAAAAAAAAATTGGTCTCTGTCCTTCTCTCTAAAACATGGAATGATTAAATGGTCAATATTCTAGACAACTCTAAAGAAGGGAAATGCTATTTTACCGTAACAGCTGTTACAAATCAAGGGCATGCGCTTTTCCCGCAAGAAAATTCTCCTCCAACTATTTAGCAATATCATTCACATAACCACATTAGGAGAGAAATACTGACTGTTGGCTGCAGAAAAATCAAACAAGCCACCTATGTGAAACAGAGTCTGTCAGTAATATGCACTCTGTATTCAGCACTGTGTCACTCATTTATGAACTGCACTGAGAAGGAATGACTTGTCTTCAAAATCACAGATCCAAGTCAAGACCACTTGATTTACACTTACTCAACATGCATGCAAAGATTTGAGCTCGTGCAAAAGAAAACCATGTACAAGCCATTCAACAGAGAAATGTAACTTTTGTATATTTCCTTGGAATAAGGTCCTTTAATATAAGCTCCACACTGTCCATTACTGTCTCACTCCTCTCTCATTTAATCCTCTGTAACACACCAAGTATCTTGACAATTCATTTTCTCATGATCACAATTCAAAAACTAACTGAGATTAACAGACATTTGCTTTATTGAGATGAACTGAGAATTAGATAATGTCTAGTCTAACCTTCTGGATGTTAGTCTTTATTGCATCTCAAACAGGCCAAAGTAAAAGTTCTCCCTCTCCAACACTAGTTGCTTTTATTTTGCACAGCTTTCAACAGAATTACTTGTGTCTGTGGATTTTTTAGTTGCAAAGTGTCATGACCCACTGTTCTCCCAAGTAGATTGTTTGATTATACTCGGTGAAAGAAAAGTAAATGAGATCAGGTGTTTGTGACTTGACACGGCTTCTCATCTGAAGTTCTGAAATATTAAAATTTTTCAAAAACCAATGAAAAGTAGAACAGAAAACAAATGAACTTCATCACCATCACTCACTTTTCTTTCAATAAAATATAACTGAAGAAAGAAAAAGGTAAATACCACCATCATCATGTTTCATTACCAGATTCTTTCCTTTGCATTCAGTATTTGAGTTCTTTTTTCGACACTTACTGTCTTAGCAGCTGTCGTCCTTGTTTCCATATTAGCTGACTGTTCTGTTGTGGCTGAATCTCTGTTTCATTCCCTTCATCTGAAAAAGATTGTTTTATTACATTTTCTTCCTTTTCCTATTTATAAAAGGCATGCCTATCCACTTGAAAAGACAAATGTCATTTGCCTTAAAATACTAACCAATCATATCATACCTAATCATACCTAATTATATCAACAATATTCAAAGTGCCAATAATCAAGAGAGAAAAAAATGCACATAGCACATAATTGTAGTACCACAAATGCAAAGCTTATCAGGTTCATCCTACTCTATAGGAGCAAGTTCCACTAGTCATCAGTGCCTTTCCATCAGTCTCACATCCCCAGGTCCCATCTAACTCTTTTTCTGTAAGGGTACATAACGACATACACAATCTGGAGTTCTATTTTTGCATTAACCTTCCAATATAATTGCAGCTCATATTAAGTTTGAATACAAATACCTTTAACTGCTAACAATATCACATGCAATCGCAGCATGATATCGATTTACAACTTACTTAGGATCATTTTCCCTAATATCTGGATGTTCAACATAAACCAACAGACCTACTCAAATCAACTTGAAATTCATTCTTACTTGCATTTGTTTTGTAGAAGGAAAAATAAAATCAAACAAACAATAGGGGTTGTTTGTATATTTTTTAAAGTGAAAAGCTGTTGAAAAATTTTCACATTTTCCCTAACCATAAATTTGTATCTAAATGTTACTACTCCAGGAAAACCTAGAAAAAAAAAAATCATGCGTCTGTTCCGGTAAGAAAATTATCTGAATGCTGTCAACCAACAGCTACACATTTATTCCATATACAGCTTCATACCACATGATGGGGGGGTTTTTTTCTCTCTTCTCTAGGAGACACATATGCTTCCCAAGATAAAAGATCTTATCTATTATCTATGAAAGCCTCTACAAAACTTGAAAATCTCATGGTCCAAACATTGAAGGATGAACAATCTTCCTGTGTAAACAAAAATTAAAAACCAGAAAAACCTGTGGTATAATCCTATGAGTAACTTGATATGTGATGCAGGAAATGAGCTATTACCCTCATTGGGAAGTCATTCACCTTTAAAGAACTGAATTAACACCACACACACACAAAAAAAAAAATCACCATCCACCCGAAGAAGCTCTCAAATACTAACGAGAATTCACATGCAAGGAGAACCATATGAATTTTATCTGTCTCAAATTCACAAATCCATTTAATAGCAGCCACAGGAAATAATCAATTGCACAATAATTTACCGATGACAACAGAACACAGCTGGGTCCAACGCATGAATACCAAAGCTCAGTCTAATAATTAAAACATGACTGAGGTAAATCGGCCTGAAAATTCCTTTTGAAAGCAAACCCCTTTCTTCTGAAGGCACTATTAAGTATATCCAGAGGCAAGAATTCTCTTTTGCATAGTCTCCTCAAAACTGATGAGGGCTAGCAGTAACAGCAGCTTACAGATGAGAATGAAGAGACTTGCAGTATGAGCAAATAAGAGCAGAAGATATCACAAAAAGTCTAAATCAAATTTTTTTTAAAAAAAGCATCCCTTTACCAGGAGATTGAGCTCTTCTTCTGACTTCCCGAGAGATCATAAAGAAAACAAACAAGGAGCCATTTGAAATAACTGCTACAAACAATTCCACATTTTTTCATGGCTGAGCAGGAAGAACAGGGACAGGGAGGGGGGAAATATATGGACATACAAGTATCTATCAAAGACAGCTTCAAAGGAGCATTATAACAAAGTTTCTATTTTAAGTGTATCATTTATTAGTCCAGACTTGATAAAGAACAAAAGTACACATTTCTGACAGTCACATATATAGAATGCAGTGGGATAAAGGAGGATAATGGAATTCTAACAAAAGTAATTCCACTAATGTTCACTTTGCAGAAGTAATGTACAAGCTATGGCTCTGCTGGGTAAGCCAGGCCTTGCACTACGCTCCTCAGCTGGAAACTAGAGCAACATGCTATAGCTGCACTCTGAGAAATTACAAAAAAACCCAAGGTCTTCTAGGATCTTGGTATGGTAGAACAAATTTTTCTAATGGTCCAGATACAGACTGGGGTCTTTCACTTGGTAACACCAAATTAAATATTTCTTCAGTTAAGGAAATAACCTTGATAAAAACATGAAAAAAAATCTCAAAAATTCATTACAACTTGGACAAGAAAAGCCTGGTGTAAAGCTTTATCAGCTGGTGTGGGGTTGGATCATTTTGTTTGTTAGGAGGTTCTTTAATTGCCCTTCTGAACTCAATGAGGTAAGAATTAACCATGACAGTAAACCAGACCATCCCTTCCACAAACCAAGTGACAGAGCTGAGGTCTGTAGACTTTCTATACTCTTCCTTCATGCACGCGTTCTAATCTCACCGTAGCAGGAGCATCAAGGGACTGAGATACAAAAAACATCACCTATTACTTGTTTCAATGGCTTGACCTATTACCAGATCTATCTCTTCTTGTTTTTCCTTTTTTTTTTTCCTGAGGAAAGGATAGGGAGATACAGGGATGAAAGGAAACAATTTAAATTCTTAATTCTTCAAGTTCAGTGCTTAAATATATTTTGTGAAGTAGGAGATGAAAACTCTACAAAAAACAAGAGACCAAGGCAAAAAACTGTCCCCTTACAGCATCACACTGAAGTTAGTTGAATGCATTTCCAAGGATCATTTGAATTCTGGAAGTAAATCCTCCACTCACAAACTCTCACTTACTTCTTACATGTACTTTCATTATTTTTCCTCCTGGAATACCACTGAGTTAATTGAACAAAAAATTATGTATTCTACATTTCATTCAGAAGAATTATCCCAAGATAAAAAGATTCTACAGCCATAAATCTAGTATCTCCTTGTTCTAAAATACCCATACACATTACTAAGGAAGAGAAAAACTATTCTCTCCAAGAGCAGTTTGTTCATTTGGGTTTGGATTGTTTTAAATCTAATTTCATTTATTAATAGACTCTGTCAGTGCATTAGCATGTATTTTTAATTTTACAAGAGTAAAATAGAGTTGTTATTAATTATCTCTATTCTCACTGCTTCCATTAAGGGGCTTATTTTATCAACACTATCATTTCAGCATTTGCACAAACCACAGTCAGCTTTTATGCCAGTAGTGAACTCATTATTTATAAATTCTTACCAGAATCATAGTTTGGTGGTTTCATATCTCCCTGATTCAATTCTGTGCCATATTTTAATTTGTGATATTTAGCCCTGAAAGAAAACAAAGCAAAACAAAAAAAAAGGGAAAAAAAAAAACTATTAGCACATTTAAAGGGTATCTCTAAACACACAAATGTCACAGGTTTTCACTTGAAAAGTCACTCCTTTCTTCTAGGCTAGAAACAAAGCAAAACGAATCATTTGACCAGGACTTCAGATAAGTTTGCTTAATTATTTTTTCCAAAGTTTACACGTAATTCCAAAGTGAATACTGATGGAACACAGGGATCAGTAGGCTGCAGATTTTACAAAATGTTCTTGCTACAGAAAAGGCTCCTTCCCTGTGGACATGAGCTACTCTTTTGTTTCCCTCCCCAATCCCCTTGCCTCTCCTTTTTAGCCATAACAATGAAGCATTTTTACTACCCATGTCAGTTCAGTGCCATCTACTTCACATCTCATATTGTCACCTCCATTAAGCAAATTTTAGTTTTGTTCTTCAAAGTGCTGTGCTTTCCAACAGCAGCAAGCCCACAGTTAGAACCATTCTGAGATTTAGCAATCACAGCTCATATACACCAGTTTCTCTCAAAGCTGCTACATCTATCACTTGACCAAGTGCAAGAATGGAGCCTTCTCTTCCAAAAACATTTAGCCTTCAGAAGGCCTAATGCAATAAACCCCATGAAACATGCTATAAAATGACAAGAGTAGTTATAAAAAAAAAGGGAAATGGTTTTTAATTTGAAAAGCTTCATCCTACAGAGTCTGTATCTACAGACTTGTGAACACAGAATAATGCCACAGCAGTACAGGATTACAAAAGCACATCTAAGTTATTCAAGATTCGTTAGTGTGTAGAACCCTTGTAACACAGAAACAGAAATTGAGGCAGAGAGAACCTTAGCTAGTTTCACAGTCTGTTCCCTCCTTCTCTTGCACTCACTGAAACTTCATAACCGTTTTCTGCCAAACATGAAAATTTAGGAAATGCAAAAGAAAATCTTGATGCCCTATAAAGTTTTGTAGACATTCACAACAGGGTAGAAGAGTGGTCCTTACACTAGTTCCTACCCTGAACAAGGCAGAGAAGAACTCAGGAAATGCCGAGTGTGAAGCTTGGCAGTAGTGGGTCAACAAACTAGCACAAACATCCACATGGTTCCAGTGCAAATGTACAGAGGAAGGGGTAGGGCAGCAAGGCACAGGCTACAACAAACCTCTCACATACAGTAACATGAAAATGAGTTTCATTAGCTCCACTAGTCACAAGGGAACTCTTCCACTTAAAATTTGTTTTTAAAGATATTAACAGGTGTGACACTGTGAGTGAGGCAAGTCTCACTTAGCTCAAATGACTGTATCAAGAACAACTGTAGAAAATGTTTTCAAGCTACCTGCACCTCTTGATGGCTTCTCAAAAATCTTCATTACATGGACTGTTTTCTTTTGCCTTTTCACATTACATCAGAAAACTCATTACTTCTAACAAAATGGTGCTGAGGGAACCGATGCTTAGTAAATCTGATGCTTCAGTATTGACTTAAGTTTTCTATTAATCCAGCTGCATTTTAATTATAGTAAACATTTAATTTTGGATTAGAAGGGTAAGTGAAGAGTGAAGAAATGCCTCTTAGGCATAGCATCATAAAAAGATGAAGGAACTAACTTCTCAAGAGCCAGAGCACTAAGGTCTAACTCAGCTGAGCTGCAATCAGCAGGGAAAGGAGAAAGGATGCACTTGAAATGTATTAACAGCAATAATTGAACGTTAAACATTTTGGTCAGTACAGAAAAGAATAACCAAGAGAAGAATGAAGTAAAAGCTGAATACTCAATCAAAATATTTATCTTTCCCATTCCAGCTATCTGTTTCCTATACCTCACCAGCAGAGAGATGCTACCCTGGTAAAAAAACTGCATTATATTATTGTTCAATACCGATACTACGTATACAAAAAGTAACTCACCCTTATCACTAATGAAAAGTAATGATTAATCAAGAATTAAGAAATCCTCTACTCTGTCATCAACTTGCCTCACCAACTTTAAACACTACAAGTTTTCATGCAGTCATGAATTCAAGTGACCCTGACATTTAATCCATTTTGATTCGACTTATCAGAAGAGAACAAATATTAATACTTTAATCTGGATTACTGACATATGCTGTGCTCTACTCAATTCCTTCAAATAATTTCAGAGAGCAGCTAGTTTTGGGCATGTAGTATTTGCTTTTAGTTCATGGGTCTTATACGAAGTTCCACTACACTATGCATTCATTAATTTTCTTATCAAGTTATGTTAAATAATTTCCAGCCTAGGTAAAATGTTTGCTAGGCTCACTGAAAAGATCATTTCTTGTACCTCTCCTATTCCTCAGATCTCTCACATGCTCTCCAAAATCTACCTTTCAAAGATTCACCCTGCAGCTTTTTAAACTTCCCAGTATATTTATTTCAATCTCCTAAATCCATGCATGCTCATTTTTTCATTTTCTTTCCCTTTTAAAACAACATTAATAATCATATTTCTTCTTATTAAAGTTTTCCCCCACTCAAAAAAGCATTATAAAATCAGTTCAGAAGATCATATTGTACATTCTATTCACATTTTAAACTGTCAGTAGCAGGTTTTTGTAACTGGCTCCTCCTCATAACGCAACAGCTTTTAAAGGTTTTGTTGTCATTCTTAACGTGTATTACATGGTCTTGTACACCACCAACCATTAAATTTATTTTAAGGCCAAGCTGGACTAGCATGGGCAGAGATGAGTAGCACTATCAGAAGAACCATGTTCTAATGAAGAGGCAATTGAAGAGCTGAAAGTCCCCAAAAGTAATGCTCATTTTCAAGACTGCTGGGAAAGTTAAAAACAAGAAGCTATAGAACTTTGCCTGCACAAAATTTCAGAAAAACCAGTGCTACACTCAAACCTGAATTCAAATCAATTAGTATAAATCGAGGTGTCTGAGTATCACGTCAGAGTACTTGACCTAGTGAACTCATCTTTAGCTATTGTGAGCTTCTAAAGGCCCAGGAAATATTAAAAAGAAAAACATAAAATCAATATAGACCGCTAACTGTCCATCAAGGAAGCATTTTATACATTTCTTCCGGCAGCAAGCATGAGATTTATTATTAAAAACTTTCTTATGGTACAGCCGAAAATGTCACAAGTATGAAAGACAAACAATCTTCTTTAGCAAGTGCACTAAGAGCGGAACACTATGATTCAGACACCAAGACTAGAAGGGAGAGTCTTGACCATTCAGTTACATAGATTGCAATCAAAGCTTATGAAGCTTCTCACAAAATAATCTTTAATTCTTTTCCACATGAATTCTGAATATAGCTTATTCCATTAGCATATTTTATTCTATTTCTACAGTAACAACCTATCTCCTGCCCACCTGTCCTGCTTAATTTCTTCACTTTCTCAGAAATCACATGGACCACTTATTAACCATTTTAAACTGGTTTTCTGCAGCTAACACCGAACTCTAGTTCACACATGACAGCACTGTGATACTATCATGGCAAAAAATCAGAGAAGTTTTTGGGTTTTTTTTAACAGTACGCAGAGACAGAAGAACGACTTCAAAATAACTACCCAAAGGATACAACTTCATAAAAGGTATTTTCCACCTGAAAACTAGCCTTCAAGGTGTTGGAAAGAAGGCTATTTTGCACTGTCGAACTGTTACTGGGTAGATGCCCTTACTCAGATATGTACGAATATTACCACTGCTTTGGCTTTTGCCCTTCATTACATAATTCTCCTCTTTGGAACAGCAGTATTTTCTTTAAACTATGTGTCTTCTATGCTTGGAGATATTCAACATGGCTGCCATGACACTTCAAGAGGTGCTTAGGAAAATGCTAAAATCTTTCTTCCTTCTAAATTTTCTAAGACTCAGAGCCATGAAACTTCACACAGAAACAAGTTTGATCCCGATCAAAAAAGGCCACTATTTCTTGGAAATATCTGTCTCCAGACCTGAAGCATCTGATCCAGCTGTGCTGAGGGAGCCTGCCAAAACATCCGTAGAAGATCTGGGAGCTGCTGCCAAATCAAGAGACATAAACAAGAGCGACTGCCAGGAACAGCACGGCGAGATATTCTACCCAGGGGAGAAGGCGCCAGCCTTACACTGATCAGACCCACCAGTGCAGAAAACAACATAAAATTAAATCAAGTGTTTCTAGAGACATGGCCCAGAAGTCCAGTTCTTTGGCTGAAATATGTTAAGACAGGAAGTGAGCTAGACTAGGTGAAATACGACATGTACTTGAGAGAAACAGTACCATGTTTCAGCTAGCTCCGGAAAATCCAGAGGCAACAATGCAATTTACTGGTGGCAGAACAAGTATTGATGAAGTAATAAAAAGTAACCCTCAAGTGTCAACAGCCTCACACTGCAATCTACTGGATGTTGGCAAAACTACATCAAACCTGCTATTGAAAATTGCTAGCACTTAACTACTCACTAGCTCCTTCTAAGCTCTTTGCTATTTAATCTATTAAGGCTCTTCAGCAAAAATAACTGGGCTTCCTATACACACAACAAAAAGGTAATCTCACCATTACTAACATAAAGACCAAATGTTAAACTAAATTGGTCAGAAAAACATGACAATCGGCAAGTAAAACTCTTTTTCTACTGTATCCACTGTAAAATGACATGTGACATGAAATAGACAACAACGATGCTTCCAAAGTTGTTTCTAGTAAAATTCGAAACCACTTGGTTGATAAAAGAAATGCTGAGCACCCACTGTAAAGAACAGCAGCTCATAAAAACAGGTATTTGAGAAAACCAATGTTGCTCATTTCCTTTCCATGGTTTCCTGAGGGTATTCCAAACATGGAGTACTCTGGGCCACAATTTCATGTTCTCTCCGGTTATTCATAACTTATTTCATCTAGTTCAGAAAGATTTGGTATGCTGCAAGGCTAGGGGAGAAATGAAGGAATTCAGGAATTATTCCCTGCCCCCTCACACAGCACCAACCTTCCCTTAACTTGACAGAAATGTCTTCCTCCTACCATGTAGAATCTCATTCTCCAGCTCTGAGATCCCAGTGGAAAATGCCAGCATCCCAACTGACTACTGCCTGACCTGGCCAACGGCTGATTTAGGAAAGTGCTGGGAACGACAGCAGTGTTTCCAAGCTCAGTATGTTGCCATTCTTTTAAGTATCAAGCAAGAACACTTGCTGGGAGATATTTCCAGCAGAAATATAAGGCTGTTTCTTCAGAAGCTGGCAAAAAAACCCTGCTGTTTAAAACCACAAACTCATAAATAGCTGTCCCCAGCACACACCAGTCACAAGCAGCACATTTACTTACAGAACCATTGCACACCCGTACTGAAACTGTCACACTGGATCAGATCAGCTGACTGTAGCCTACTGACCTAAGTAACTGAGGCTAATACCATGCACTGCAGAAAAACATACAACAAAAGATAAAAGATTCCTACATAAAACTGCTAAGAAGCCACCAGGTAGATGTTTTACCCTAGTCCTGACAGTGACTGCTGCATTAGGCTTTAAATGTCATAATTTAGGTGGATTTTACAGAACACAATCGGGAGATGTTTTCATTATCAATATGGAAATTTGATTTTTGGTATTTTTTAAATGTTATGAAGTTTATTTGAGAGCACACAGAAATGTATCTGCATAGTATGATAATTTTAGATAAATTGCTAGTTTATCTGGGTTATTAACACAAAGTATAGAGATATCTTTAAGTAATCAGGAACAGCTCCCTCAATTTTGAAATACAGAAAATCTTCACAGATTATATATAGAACTTAGAGCCTAAGTGAACAAGAATATTCTCATTGTCTGTCTTTTTTAAGTGACTCTAAGCTTTGCAATCATAGCTCAAATGTAAGCCTTTCCATGGCTGTAAACTGCCATCTCCATTATGCATACATTTGATACACCTCTGTATCAGTACCTTAACAAGACCCGGGCAGTATCTACCCTGGGCATTCTTCTGAGAGCTTCCCAAAGGGAAAGCAACTACACTGGAGCCCTGAGGCTACTGCTGGCCAGAAAACTGGCTGCAGCTCCGTGCTAGAAGATGAATTACTTTCTATCAGAAAGAGATGAACTGGATGTTGCAAGGCATGTCTTGTGCTGAAGCAGTCCATTGAGGATGAGCAAATCTAAATGCAATACAGTGATGTACAACTAAAGGGGTCCTTTTCAAATTATCTAGCAGCAATATCCTATTCCTCACTTGCCTATGTGTATATTTTATTTCTACTAACACAAACTATTTGAGAGGTTTATTCTATTAATATTTTATTAATGAGAAGTAGGAATTACCTGATAGGAAAATGGTATGTTATCCATGATTGCTTTGCAGTAGTACCATAAATATACTCTTTATGTGAGAACTTTAAAAGACATTTTACTAATAAAAAACTTTTAAACTAAACTCAGCCTAAAATAAATGAGTTGAACAGAGACTTCTGAAAACATGATAAAACCCTAACTCTGCCTCAAAGATTAGAATAACAGGAAAGTATATGTAAGAAGAAAATGGTAAAGCAAACTGGGGACTTCTACAAAAAAATCCCTATAACCAAAGAAACAGACATTGATTAACTGGTGAACACATTTTTTTCTCTCATACAATTAGTCTCCAGAAGATATTCCTGTAGAGTCTATCACATTGAAAAGACTAAATACTTAGCAAGATTAAAAACTAGCAATTACAGGAGCAGAGACAGTTATTCAAGATCTCAGTTTCCACATATTACTAAACAGAGCTAGTACTCTGAACAAAAAGAGAATACACTGTAGTTCTGGGGTACAATCTATTCAGTTAGGTCGAATTTTACCAAGGCAAAAGTATTCATTATTGATCAGCTGTGGGTTTGATTAGCACGTTTTTGGAGCCATACTGCACTAGCTATTGTTCTTACCATAATGCAGACATTTAGACTAGTAGTGTTACTTAATATAATATTATTTGCCAGTTTGAGAACTGAGTAAATACAGGACAAAAAAAGTATTTCTTGGCTTTGTCAAATACAAAGGCAAAATAAAGCATCTGCCTTCAGAATTTCTTCAGCATGCACTCATAACTAAAGCAGCATACCTTTCCTGCTTAAGTGCATATTCCAGCATTTTGATTCTTCGCACTAGGTCCTTCTTCAGATTTTCCTGTCCTTTCCTCTCACCTTGAAGAAAGGCAATCTGGGCCTGCAAAAGAAAGGGTTCAATTTAGAATCTGCTTCCTCAAAATCATTCAGCAAAGCTCTTAACTGTGTGTGTCTTCCCAAGTTATTTTAAAATTTGTTTGTAGAGTTCAAAAGAAATTGGCTTACTATGTTTCATAAACATTAAACGCTTACACAAAACACTGCATAGATAAGCCTTCTAAAATCACAGATGAAAAAAAAAGGAAAGAAAAAAAGATAAGAAATAAAGCAATTTTGGTTTGTTTGACAGGGTTTATTTCCTCTCTTGGCTAAACATGCAATAAAGGATAAGGAATAGATAAAATAAGCATACAAAAAGCCTTCAGTAGATAAAAGTATTTACCAACAGTAAGTAGGAGAAGATGGCAAAAGTGTTTCTGCTCACTAACTGAAGTAGTGTATAACCGGTGCACTGTTCTACAGATACATGGTAAGATACATGATAGTAAAAAACCTAACATAAACTATGTTCAGCTAAAGGAAAAATAAAACCCCATTTGTAATATCCTGTTAAGTGTTAATTATACCTACTAAAATAGGTTAAAGAAAAGTTCTCCAGAAATACTGCAATTAAGAGACAAAAAGCTTCCTGCCACCTCTGCAGCTGAGTATCCAAGTATCTCATCTGTCTCTTGAGAAGTACAGACAGGATAAAAGGCAACTGGTCTAGACCATGAGCTGTTGAATGAAGACCAATAAGCTTTTCATTTATATAAATGACCACTGCAGTTCTGTAAGTGGTGTCTGTGGGCACTGCTGTCTGCTCCAATCCATACAGAAAGTCAGGGAGAAATGATCCTATCCTCATGTGTCACAACCTTGCAAGTAGTCCTCAGATATTTCAGTTAATGAAGACAGTTGCTTCTAAAGAATCATTGATCCGACTGTAGATTTTTACCCCAAGCTGAGGAAAAAAAAAAAAAGAGGGTCTGTAAATGCCATTTTCTTTCCACCAACCCTAAGGGGAAAACACATAACTAACTCGGTTGAATTTTGGAGACCAGGCAAGATGACTGTTACTCCAAAAGGCCATTTGTTGGTGGCCAGCTAATAGCAGCTGCTCTAAAATGACACCAGCTGACATAATTTCATTGTTCAAGTACCACCAGTAAACAGCTTGATAGACACATGAAGGATCCTTAACTGCAAGTCACCAACTAGAAGAACAGCCAGTTTATGAGAAGTGAAAAACATTGGCTGCTCTCCAACAAAGCTGGTCTTCACCTTTAATACGGGAAATACATTTGAATTCCAAAAAAATTCAGCTGAGTCAAAAGCAAGGCCTCTTGCTCTGGCATCAAGCTTCCTCTCACTTAACACTTAAATCAGGATGAACAAAAAACTACAGTTGAATTCTAATGTTCCTTTTATACTAAGGTTTAAAGAAAGGCACAGAAGAAAGAAATGCTGGCATTGGAGTCAGCATTTGCTACCCTGAGGAATAATACTGTGCAAGAAGCATGTAATCTCAAACAAGGTCACCAACTCAGTAACAAGAGGAACACCTCAAGCACATACAACTGAGTTGGCAGAAAGCAACTGTACAGACACCCAGATTCTCTCTCCCTGTCTCCACATAGGCCCAGCAGAACTAAACATATGTCCTTCTAGTCAAAAAGTGGAAGAATATCAAAACAATATTAAAAACAGTAGAACATAATGTAAATATGTATTTGGTTGGAATGAAGATGATCATCCAATGCCATCAGGACACGGGCTGAAGTGATCTATGATGTGACCTGCTCTCTGCAAGCAATTTCTAGCTAAAAACTGACTAAACACACTGGATTGAAGCATTTTCACCAGGTAGGTTGGTGAAGGACAGCCAGTAATGACCTGGCTCACACATTCCTATTGTACAAAGGCCATACCAGCATTATCATGCCTGAAGTTGAGGCTAAAGTCATCTTCCACTGGTAGCAGCCTAAACAAAATTAAAAATGCACCTTCTCTGTAGTTTTGACAGCTTATTTTTGTAAGAGGGAGAGACATAAATCAATATGATTTAAAAATATCGTATGACATCTCCTTCATGTGGACATCTGTTATTGTCAGTAGTATGTCAGTGCTCTTACTGATGCCTTGTAATTTTCTTTTTCCCAGACTTTCAAAAAATCCTTGTGCTTCTTATTCTAAAAGCATGCAGCAACAACAGAGTCAAATCCAAAGCCCAGGAGCCATCACTCCATCCCTACACAAGCTTATTGCTAGGATCTTTCAAGGTCACTATATATCTTACAGACAGGTAGCTTTACTGTCACATCAAGAAACAGACAAGTGCACCAGAGAGCCTGAGAAAACTTTTGCTCTCTCCTTGGAGGCTGCACAGTTTCTACCACAGTTTGATCATGCTTTTCTTCAGAGTAGTCCCTTTAAGTCCAATACTCATTATTTTTGAGAAATTCTGGCTCTGAAAATGAGGCTACTCATGTTTGGTCATTTTCATAATATAGAAAAAGAGACTATTTCCCCTCTTTTCCACAGGATGATAGCAACATCTATGCCTCATTTATACAAGTACTGAGTAATTACAATTAAGTAAGCTTCAGTGGGCAAGAAAACATCAGTTATATATGTAAACTTCAATTTTATTTCAGAATTTCTTAATTACGATATTCATATTTACTTGCATTGCACATAACGACAGCATTCAAATGATAACTAAAATTTCATACTAACAATGATACTGTAACAGTTCATATGTCTGAGGCAGATTTCCTTCTTTACAATGTTTGGGAATTAACTGAATGCAAAGGAACCTAAATGTTCATACCATAGTGAAACACTCTGCAGTATAAGTGAAAACTGACTGAGTTTGAATATATAAAATGACAAATTATGACATCTAGCAGTATTTTCTCAGTCTCTAGACCTAAACAGTGATGACTCCAGGATCACTATTTCCAGTCAAAATACGTAGGCAACACCTGTGCAAACGTTTAATTAAAACACGATGAAAAGGAACTGAACTGTACAACTACAGTTTTCTTACAATTCTGACGTGACAGAATCTTATCAACGGACTGAGACTCCACAAGTCACTTCTCACAGCTTCAGCTTTAGCACAAGTCAAACCTGAAGCCTACACTATACCTGAGGGAGTAGGAGAGCAAAGGAGATTCGCTTCCACTTTGAGTAATCTGCAACACTGTTCTACACTTGTGCTTTGGCCACTCCTGGGAACGTCTGCCAAAAAATCTGAAGAATTCGCAAATATTCCGAACAAACAGGTTCTGCGACAACTGACCTTCTGGCTAATAAGGTTAAAATGCATCAAGTTGTAAGCCAGTCATTGCAAACCCCTACATCGCCTACGGGGACCAGGCAAAACCTCATATTGTTCCTTGCTCATGGGTGGGGCACACGGACTCCAAAAAGCACCCGGCCCCGCTGGCTCCGCAGCGAGGGATCAAGGCAGCATCCGCCTCAAGTTTATTCCAGGCTAAGTTCTATAACTTACTGTATTCCTCCAGCTCAACTGCAAAATTAAAATCAAGAGAGCAGCAAAAAAAAAAACAACCCACAAAACCAGAGAACATTGAGAAGGGAGATGCCTGGAGCAGTCTACTTCAGCTGCAATTGCACAGTCCAGTTTGGGGTTTTTCCACTTTCATCTCACTAAAGTTTTTAGTATTACTAAGTGCAACAAAACTTAGAACTGTCATACACATCCGGTCTAGGTTAACAGCACTGTAGCTATCTCAACTATTCCACTTTTTTATTGAGAGATTTTAAAAATAACATTCATTCTTACGCTGAAAAAATTTCTCACAGGCAACAACACTGTTGTTTTAAGACATTCCCCAGAAGACTCTAAGGTCACATTACTGTGAATTAGACAAAAGGGTGAGGCAATGTTTTAGGTAGCTCTGGGTTAGAAACAACTTCTTTTTTAAAATGCTGTTGTCTTCCTAATACCGACTTAGCAGCCGTAATAGTATAATCAAATAATAAAATTGCACCCTGATAAGTCTGGATTTTACCAGTGTTCAAAAATTTAAGCTGAAATTTACACTTCCTAGAATCAGCAACCACAACGACAAGGACGTTAAAAAGTATATTGTATCTGCACACCTTTCTGGGCTGACACCTTGACAATATCAAACAGCAGGAGATTTTAAAAAAAATTATCTTTAACAGAAAATGTTTAAAAAGAAACATACTATGACTGCTAAATGCTGCATGCTTAATACCAACTTCTATCAGTTCCTGAATTTTACGGCTATTCTAAGTTAAAAGGCAATTTATTTTTTTGAAGTCTTAAGACTCAGGAACTATAAAAAGCTTTTCCATTCTTTTCTTTGTCTTAATATTTTAAACCTCACTTCAAATTTATGGGCACTTGAAGGTCAACAGGCATCATTTGACAAAGAGCTACTAAGACACACAATTCTCTATATGATGCTTCCCTAATTTGACAACAAGGTCTTCGCAGGTCAAGAGAAAGAGAACAAAGGGGGAAAAAAACTGCAAGAAGAGTATTGCAAAAAATATGTAGACAGCTAAAATAACTAAATTCATTATACAGCTGAATCACAACACTGCAATTACATGTCACAAAATAATCCCATATTATGAGCTGAAGTCCAAATTGCAAATGCTCAAATTCCTTTCCACTTGCTGTACAAGAGCGGCAGTAATGCAGCGACAACAGTCAGCACCAGGACTGATAAATAGACTCATGGCCCACATTTAAACTGAGACAATGGAAGTTCACAGGCCGAATGAATCACTTGGAGTACGGCAAGACAAGGGAGAACAAATCTGGAGGAGATTTTTAGATTTGGCTTCAGTAACAAGAAGAGGAGTGAAACAGACTTGACCACACAAGCATTTGCAGAGGCAATTGGCAAACTCCTGTTCCTCACTCCTACATCCAGTATCAGCTACTCCTTGTTTTCAAGCATGCATGACCACCCTGAACTGACTATGGCATCAAGTGAAACAGATACAAAAATAAATGGGTTTGTTCTCACCTCCTGTTTACAAGCTTGGATATGAATATCGTGCATGCCATTTTTGATCCAA